AAGGATATTGTTGGCAGATTGACCCATCTTCAGTGTTTCGGGTATATCTAATGACTCGTAAGTCCATTTGACGAGATTAAAATTGTTCTGAAAACTAGACGAAATTTCCTACGACTTATGTTAGAGGGACTTTTGGCTAATTCGATACTTATCTTATCCAAAATCGGACTTGAAGATGAAGCATAAAATCTGGACGGAAATTCCCTCCAAGTTACTTATTCCCCAAGCACCACTTTCCTTATCTTTATTTGCTTAATCCCTAAGCCACCATTAGTTTCCTTATTCCAATCCAACTCTAATATTCCATATAAATTCCATCTCCATCAACTATAAATACCCGATATCATTCCACCAATTTGAAGAATCTATGATAGTCCACTTCGACTTGTGCAACAAGAAAACTTCATAGTTGCCGTTTTGAGGGTCTAGAAGGCGGCCGGAAGGCCGTTAAGCTAACGGGAGCAGAGATCTGAAGGATTGGAGAGCGGATACATGTCGGTAATCATATGGATTGCTAACGTGACCATGTTTAGCACTTCCTTATGGTACTTTTTGTATTTAGTTTCTGATTTGGGTGTAAAAACCTTTTACTTTGTGTTTATGATTGAATGAAGTTTTGATTCTTAGACTAATTGTTATGTTAAATAATTTATTTGTGTTTAATTTATCTTGCCAAGCTTGTTCAAAGATCCTCATGTGTTAATGATGATTATTTGCTGTTAATTGTTAAGTGAATTAAGTTGTATGAAAACCTGCTTGATTTGCTTGTCTCTTATGATTTTTGATGACCATTGAGATTATAAGACTAGAAATAACGAATGTGAAACTAGGATTAACTTGGGAATAAGTAAGTTAATGTGTGAGCCTTGTTTGATGACCATCAACAAGAGGTTAATTAAATGTTTAAATTAACTAAATTTACAAGTCTTGCTTGATATGAACTGAACACTAGGAAGCATGTTAGTTTAATCAATTGATCATTGTTTGAATTGACTTGTTTGCTAAAGGATTAGTTATAGTGAACATGAATCTAATCAATTTAGGAATCGGTGAACATGAATAAATGAATTTGTGTATGCAATTGTCTATGTTTTCAAGGTGTAATTTGTCTAAACCAAAGTACCTGAAGAGATTTGCTTTCCTGTTAGTTTATCGAGAGTATTCAATTAATTGTTAGTTTGAGATTTATTTCTTTATCCTTCTCGTGTAACCTGTAACCTATAATTAAATATATTAAATTAATCCACCGTTCCCTGTGATCGACACCCGACTTACCTAAGCTATACTATAATCTGACTAGATACACTGCCTATAAGTGCATAGTTAGTCTAAGTTTTTTAGGTTATAAATATTAAAATTAATGGGTACTTTCGTGCACATCACATCAATACAATCAAGATTCTTAATATTCTTCTTCTCCTTCTCTTCTTATTGTGATCTGGCATCATCCGTTTGATTGGGATTCCGCACCATCAAACGGATCTGACTGATACACAGGCAGATTAGGGACTTACAGTTCAGTAACCTGATCATTTGTTTGACTAACAACAGACTGAGGTGAGTTTTCTCACTATATTATAGGACACTAGGATATGTGATGTGTTTGTCGTCTTTGTAAGTCTTGTTGTATGTGTAATATGCCTTGTTGTTGTTGCTATATGTATGTGGGGTAAAATAGACGTGGTATAGCCTTATGCTGACACATGAGTTGAAATAGACTCGAGGGTGAAATAGACCCGGTACGGCCTTCGGCTGACACATGAGTTGGAATAGACTTATGAGTGAAATAGACTCGGGGGGTGAAATAGATCTGTCACAACTTTGAGCTGGCAAATATGTATGGTATGTGGTATTTTGGGGAACACACTAAGCTTTATACTTACGGTTTTCAGTTTATGTTTCAGGAACTTCCTGATCGAAGGGAAGAGCTCAGGATGATCACGTTGCACACACACCATGATTTCCACCTGATTTGACTCTGATGTTTTTGGGATGTTTAATTGATATACTCTATTTTTCGTTTATGATTTACAAACATGTTGGATTAGTGATTTTATTATTATGAAAATGAAATTTTGGGTCTTAAATTTTGGGACGTTACATCAAATCTCACGACGTGACAGTGCATCTTGTCACGACGTGAGCATAACTCAGATCCAAATTATATGTACTATTAAAAGTTTAATATATTATATGTATAAGAAAAGTCAGTCAAATCAATAGTAGGTCTCATTTACGAAACCATGTTATAAAGAGGGTATAAGGAAGCGGCCGTGAAATGTGTGCCCACTCCCACTCACCGTTCTCTTGTGTGGTGGAGGATCGTTAGCCAAATGGGTTTGATAAAACATAATCTTATTAAAAGTATAATGATATAAAGTAACTAAACTATTTTAAAATTGCACTCTTAGTTACTTTAGGAAAAATATGAAAAGTATGCTAATCCATGAAATTACACATTATGCTTTATATGTAGTTAGTGGAGCGTGTGTGGTTAACCGACACATTAATAATGACTATAAAGATAAGTAATGAGCATCTAGAAAATTATCATTGTTGATGGAGCACATGTGGTTAACCGACACATTAATTAGAGATGATAAATGACATCTAGGTGGCCAAGAATATTTGTTTGGTTATTCACATCTTGTTTGTGATCCTTGGCATCACTGTTACAAATAGAAGAACATAATATGAGATTAAACATGTCATTGATAAGATTTAATAAATCTCAAAAAGATCTAGGAATTTCATTTTGATTGAAAATGGTAAATTACCTTTACCTACCATCATAAATTCACGATGAGATTAAAGCATCCCTTTTCTTAGTTGTGAATTTTTATTTTAGATTTTAGCCTTGAATAATACTTATGGGTTAAAATATTAAGTGTTATTTGCATATAACTAAAACTATCTTTTTCTTTATAGATGTCTAATCCTGGTGATGCTCTTGTTTCTTAAAACTCTTCGCACAACTTCTCGCTACTCGTGAGCGTGTCCAAGGTGACATTGGATAGCACCAACTACAATGATTAGATACAAAACATCAAGATGGGTATTTGATATGAGGGCAAAGAGTATGTCCATGAAAAACAACTTGTTAAGATCAATTAAGCCACTACTACTACTAAATAAATAGTCTTCTACAAGAAACACTATGATGATGCAACAAGGGATTCTTTCATCATCGTCACCACCACGGTTCCAGAATTGCAAAGATTCTCTGAGGACTTGACTCTTTTTAACGTGAGGACTCATGAGGACACCATAAAAAATTGAAAAAAAATCTAAAAAAAAATATAAATCATAAAATTGAGCATAACAATATATCCGGGAGAAAAAAAAAATTTGAAATTTTTTTTGCATCATTAATGTTGAATCATGGATCTTAAAAATTGTATCATTGATCACAAAAATAATCCATGCTTCAGTTTTAATGATCCAGAAAAAAAAATTCAAAATTTTTTTTTCTCTCCGAGATTTTATGATTTGTATTTTTTTAATTAGTTTATTATTTTTTATAGTGTCATCACGAGTTCTCACATTAAAAGGAGTCATCATCTGATCCTGTTTCTCTATCTCTCTCTCTCTCTCTCACACACACACACACACACACTCTCTCTCTCTCTCTCTCTCTCTCTCTATATATATATATATATATATATATATATATATATATATATATATCCTTATTCTAATAAAAAATAATTTTATTCTTCTTTTTATATGTGTCATTATATTAGACTCATAATTAATACATATGTTATTCTTCTTTTGTCATGTGTCAACTTATTATATCTCGTTATTAATAAATGTTACTTGTTAACCTATCGATTATCCATTTCAAATTTCAAATTTTCAATTTTTCACTCTAATTACATTAAATTAATAACACTAAAATAAAAATTAAAATAAAATTAATACAAATTATAAAAAGATGATTTTACATACTTATTTAAATCAATAATTATAATTTTATATAACTAAAAAAAATCTCTTAACTAATATTTTATTTAAAATAAATTATTAATAATTTTGAGTTTTTTACTATAAAAGTTTAATTAATTTTAAACCGTTTTTCCCACGGATTACAAGATAGTATATATATATATATATATATATATATATATATATATATATATATATATATATATATATATACACTAGCCGTTTACCCGCACAAAGCGGCGGACAACAAATAGTTTGTTTCGACAATTAATTTTTTTCGATGAATAATGATTATTTTCAATTCAATCATTAGTTTGTTTTAGGAAACATGTCATATTAAAAATAAAGAAAATTCATGAAATGACCAAATTATAGGGTGTTAAGTATTTATTTGGATGAAAAAAGATATGGTCAAAACCTTGGAAGAGAGGATTTATAGGAGTTTGTTTAAATTTTAATATTATTTTATTAGTGATTAGTTGTACAATTAACTTAATGATTTGGACGTCTTAAAAAAATATTATTATTTTATTCAATCTATTTTTACAAATAGTGGGATTTGTTTTATATATATATATATATATATATATATATATATATATATATATATATATATATATATATATATATATTGAAACAAAAGTAAAAAATATGTGAGGCCCATCGAATAAATGTTAGAATGTGTAGTTTATCTTTATTGTCGGTTTCAATCAAGCAAAGTTACAAAAAAGAAATTACATTATTGAATGTGAACGTAACTTTATTTCATTTTATAAAGTTGAGTTTGAAACTAATGTGTTACTAAAAGGGAAAATGACTTGTAAGGGTAATGATGTTTTACCCGTGTTCACATTATACCATTAACGTTTTTTTTTAACACAAAATACCATTAAAATGTTTTTTCTGTACATACTTTACCATTGTTAACCGGATACAATAGGTATCCCGGTAATTTATTTATTAAAAAAAAAAAACAAATTATGTGGAAAATACGTGGCTCACCCCTCTCCATTAAACACCCTCACCCTCACCCTCAACACCCCGTTGTGTAATTTTCTCAGTCGAAGTTGAGATCGATCATGGCTGGTCCATCTAATGCAAAAGGATCAACTTACATTCAAGTAGATGTTCATTACGATGGAATGTTTTCCCCCATTCCTCATCTTATATACTACCTGAATCAAAAAACGTCAATTACAGATGTCGATTTTGGTGGATTAAATTTCAAGGAGTTCATTCATGTTCTTGAGGATGTCACAAAGGGGAAGTGTCCTGTTGTCTACTACTGTCTTGGGCATAAGTCAATGCGTGATGGGTTGACACCACTGAAAAACGATGATGACTACAGGAGGTTTCTTGATGTTGCACATGGTAACGAGGGAAAGATTAATGTATATATTGATCACTACAACGATTCGGTGCTTGACTGGATAGAGGAAGAAAAGGAAGAAAAAAATGTTGATAGTGAAAGCTCTGATGAAGATAAAGACTCGGTCATGTCTGATGCTCTATCTGTTGATCATGAACCCGATGAAGAGGTAATACCATTGACTAAATCTGATGATCCCTTTCTTAACTATATTAGTGTTGTCCCTAGAGATGAGTTTGTTGATGAGGATGATGATTCAGATAATGGAACCAAAGAAGCCCCAATTTACCCTTATCATGACTCAACTCAGAAATGGGATACAATGCAACCCATCCTTGGTATGAGGTTTTGTAACCCTCAAGAACTTAAACAGCTTGTCTCAAACTATGCAGTAGCAAACGGTTTTAACCTTTGGTATGAAAAAAATGATAAAACTAGGTTGTTAGTCAGGTGTTGTAAAACTAGTGAAGGAAAGGCAGCATGTCCTTTTAGACTATGGGCTACTTGGATGAGCAGTGAAAAGTCATTCCAAATTAAGTCCTTACGTAATGAGCATAACTGTGCTAGAACCTTCAAGTTTGGGTCAGTTGTTACTTACTCATGGATAGGGAAACATTTTGTTAATGATATTTTAGAAAATCCCAAATTGAGTTGCAGGGAAATGAGGGATAAAGTTGGGGAAATTTTCAATGTGAAGGTTAGTGTTGGACAATGCAGGAATGCAAAGAAGTTTGCACTTAATGAGATCGAAGGCAGTTTGAACACACATTATGAAAAATTATGGAGTTATGGAGCTGAGATATTAAGAGCTAATCCAGGGTCAACAGTGAAAATTGGGACGGATACAATGCCTGATTCCACAATTTATTTTTCTAGGATGTATGTTTGTATCAAAGGTGTAAAGGATGGTTGGATTGAAGGATGCAGGAGGGTTATAGGTGTAGATGGTTGCTTTTTAAAAGGTATTTGCAGAGGTGAGCTTCTTTCAGCTGTAGGTAGAGACGCTAACAACCATATTTACCCCATTGCTTGGGCAGTAGTTGCAGTTGAGAACAAAGAAACTTGGAAGTGGTTTCTAAACTTACTACTTAAGGACATTAACATGGGAAATGGGGCAGGATTAACCTTACTTTCTGACCAACACAAGGTATTTATCCTAACTGTTTTTTAATTGGTTACCGTTTTATTTATCTTAATGTTATGTTTATCTTAATGTTATGTTTATGTTGCATGTTTAGGGTCTTATTGAGGCTGTTAAAGAAAGAGTACCAGATGCTGAGCATAGGCAATGTGCTAGGCACGTCTATGCTAATTTCAAGAAAAAATTTAAGGGTGCTGCATATAGGAAGCTGTTTTGGAGGGCTGCAAAGGCCACAACTGTGCAGAGGTTTGAAGGTTTAATGAAAGAGATTAGGGCGATTGATGTACAAGCATATGATCACTTGATGGAAAGAGATCCAAAATCCTGGTCTAGGGCTTTTTTTGTATTGGACAGGTCTTGTGATGCCATTGAGAATGGTATTTGTGAATCTTTTAATGCTGCAATTGTGCATGCTAGGAAAAAGCCGATTATAACAATGTTAGAGGAAATTAGGAGGTTTGTGATGGATAGGATGTATTGTAAAAGATTGAAGGGGCAGAAATGGAATCTAGCCATATGTCCATCTATTAGAAAGAAAATAGTGGACAAGAGGAAACATCTAAGGTATATATACTTTATTTTATAGGTATTGGCATGTAATTCCCAAGTACTAATTTTATACTATATTCCTTTATTTTATAGGTATTGGTATGTAATTCCCAGTGGAGTGCAACAATTTGAGGTGAGGTCAGTACATGAGGTTTATGCTGTGTACTTGAACCAAAGAACATGTGCATGTAGAGGATGGCAACTAAGCGGTATACCATGTATACATGCCATGGCTGCTATTAGTTATCTAAATGAGAATGTGGAAGACTATGTGGCAACTTGGTTCACAACAGAAATGTTTGGAAATTGCTATAAGTATACAATTAATCCTTTAAATGGAAGTGAAATGTGGCCATCTTGGGAAGGTCAACCTATGTTGCCCCCGAAACGTAAAAGATTACCTGGCAGACCTAAAGTCAACAGGAAGAAGGCTGCTTCAGAAAAAGAAGGTCGTCATACTATTAGCAAGAAAGGGGCTATTACAAAATGCAGCATCTGTAGAGAACCAGGACACAACAAAATAACATGTCCATTGTCCAAAGAAGGTTTTTTTCATATCAAGTATCATTCATTTACCAAAAAAAATATAAGTATTATCTATTAATGCATTATAAATTTTAATGTAGGACCAAGTACTAAAGCCAAAAAGAAGAAGGGTAAACATGTTCCTGATGTTGAGGATGAGTCTGAATTTGAGATTGAAGAGATGGATGAAGTTGAAAATGAGTATGAATCTGAGTCTGAATCTGAGATTGAAGAGCTGGCTGAAGATGGTGATGAACCTGATCAGGGACAAGTTGATGAACAAGTTGAACCTGCTGTTGAAGCTGTTGAAGCTGTTGAAGCTGTTGTTGAACCTGATGAACAAGTTGAAGCTGTTGTTGAACCTGATCAGGAACAAGTTCATGAACCTGATCAGGACCAAGTTCATGGACCTGTTGTTGAGGAACCTGCTGCACAACCCGTTGTTGAAGTTGAACAAAGAGCACAACCATTGAAGAGGAAAAGGAAATACTCAGAGAGGATCACTAAAGTGGCATTAAGTAGGGTGGTCAACACCAAGGATGGATGTGGTTTAAGTGTGAATAAACCTGTTACACTGGAATGATTCCCTTTGATGTAAATCTGCACATTAAAAACTGTGCTTTTGTTTGTTTAAGGATGAAATTACCATGCTTGTCTTTTGATGTAAATATGCACATTAAAAACAGTGCTTTTGTTTGTTATTACCCTTTAAATATAATCTACATCGTTCAATGTTGCTTTTACATATGATTCCTTGTTTTTGACCATTATGCCCTTCATATTATTTTTTACCATTATTCACATTAGATCATATTCAAACACAAGATTCTGCACATTATGCCCTTCATTTTGACCATTATGCCCTTCTGCACATTAAGAGGTAAAATTCTGCAAGATTCTGCATTTTGACCATTATTCAAACACAAGATTCTGCATAGTTGTTTGTACAAGAGTTGTTTGTACAAGGGTAACATTCTGCCCATTATTTTTACCATTACTCACATTAAATCATATTCAAACAAAAGATTCTGCAAAGTTGTTTGCAAAGTTATTTTACCATTACTCACATTAAATCATATTTTTACCATTATGCCCTTCATTTTGACCATTATGCCCTTCTGCACATTAAGAGGTAAAATTCTGCAAAGTTGTTTGTACAGGGGTAACATTTTGCACATTATTACCCTAATAAGACAATGCATGAATGCTCATTCAATGTTGTTTGTACTTAAGATTAAATCATATTCAAACTTAAGCTAAACATGTCCATTCAATCGTATTCAGCAAAACATGTTCATTCAATCATATTCAGCAAAACAACCATAATATCCGATTACAATTTGACATTTATGCCCTTAAAAGTGATACTACAAACAACATAAACAACACAATTACATATGTTTTGAGACTGCTAATTTTTCTAATTATCTTATCAAATTCTTCATCTGTCTTCTTTTTGTAAATATTGAAATCATGGTCCATAATTGCAATCCTCACTTCACAAGATTGTGCCCTTACTTCACAGGATTGTGCTCTCACTTCATCTCTTTTCTTCTTGTTGACTGTATCTTCTTCATTAACCCATTCCCAGAATTTGCATTTAATTTCTGGGTTATCCTAAAACAAATATACGAAAATTATTGAAAGACCTTACTACATATAGAATAAACCCGACATACCGTTGAATTAGGGCAAACCCTAAACTCTTTTCCAGGATTATCTTTGGTCGTTGAAGTCCAGATACGAGAAGGGTAGCCACAATCACAGGGATTTGCAAAATCAAGTTTCGATTTTGACTTGATTTTCTTCGATCTGGTGTTGGAGGTGTACGTAGAGGAGGAGGAAGCATTAGATGGACCAGCCATGATCGATCTCAACTTCGACTGAGAAAATTACACAACGGGGTGTTGAGGGTGAGGGTGAGGGTGAGGGTGTTTAATGGAGAGGGGTGAGCCACGTATTTTCCACATAATTTGTTTTTTTTTTTAATAAATAAATTACCGGGATACCTATTGTATCCGGTTAACAATGGTAAAGTATGTACAGCAAAAACATTTTAATGGTATTTTGTGTTAAAAAAAAACGTTAATGGTATAATGTGAACACGGGTAAAACATCATTACCCTTACAAGTCATTTTCCCTTACTAAAATGGTTGGAATCTATAAAAATGCTGTTTAGGTCTAAAGGGGTCATCTCATCTTTGGACATAGGTCACATTGACCGAATTACGTTAAACACTTTTTCTTTGTAGTTGTACTTTTCCGTTCACTTTCTTGTTTATTCGATGTTATCATTTCTTGATTATGTTTTATTAGATCATATTAGATCATGCTCTAATGCCAAATGTTAGATTAACAGAGATAATGACAAGATCAATTAAACATATATAAACTTCATGAATCTTAAAACAAATAACTAACACTTACTTGAGAATGTGAACAATGATAACACTGTGGTTGTTGATACCATTTTATGATTCCTCTTCGTTTTCCATATTGATGTCTTATTGGTCAGTCTGATGGATTGATAACGCACATAAGATGGCAGTATATATATATATATATATATATATATGTATATATATATATATATATATATATATTTACTACTTATAAAAGAAATCTAACTATTTTTATAAATAAATTGAATATAATAATATTATTTTTTTAAGACGTCCAAACTATTAAGCTTGAAGTACAAACTCATTTATAATATAATAATATTAAAACTTTACCCCTATCCTTTATCCCCTAAAAATCTCGTATCAAATTAATAGAAGAATTCATTTGCAATTGAACCTGTCAATCTCAACACTTCAGCCATTTGAAGTGGTCAATGTCAATAATTTATAGAGAATATCTTGTCTCACATTGGTAACAAGCCATCTCATAATATCTATCTTCGCAATTCCTTCAAAGTAAGAAATATAAGCACACTCTCTCGAAGAACCCTAACCAGTAACCAAGACAGTATATAACCACCACCACCACAGCCTCTCTGCCTCCTTTCGCCTTCAACCAACCACTATCACGACTACCGCTCTTCCTCTCACCCACGACATGAACTTTCTTTTTGAACATAAGATTTTTCTTTAAAAAAAATATCGTTGAAAGAAGCTATTTGTCCCCGCCGCTGTGCGCGGGTACCGACTAGTATATATATATATATATATATATATATATATATATATATATATATATATATATATATATATATATATATATATATATATATATATAGATTTCGTGATTCATCACCAACATCTATGTATTTAGAATGTGTTTTTGTATTAGACCTCCAGTAAATTTTATAACTTTCTTCGACACCTACCTTATGTGCCTTGTATAGTTTTTTTTTTCAAGGGTTACGAAATTAGGTTTATTAGGTTTTTTAATCAGCACTTTCAATATTTCACTAGAGTTTTATGAATTAAATTTAAATGCCAATACCTATAGGTAGTTGGTAAAATATTCTTTTACACGATTTTGTGGTACAAAATTAAACTTATAAAACTCCATAAAAAAATATAAACATAGAGTAGCATAACGTCTAATATAATATAAAAGAAAAATGGTAGAGATATTTAACTGCATTTAGTTAAAACCATGTGGTTTTTTTTTTATGGTTTTATACCTAATATTATATACATAACAACCATATATTCCTTAAGCTTTTATATATATATATATATATATATATATATATATATATATATATATATATATATATATATATATATATATATATATATAGTTATTTAGCGAATAGACCTTATTCAATATTAACTAACAATAAACAAAAGAAAAAGAGATCAATCAAGGAGTATGAGTTAAAAAAATGTCATGATGATTTGTAGTTAAAGATTTTATTCCTACATGTATTTTATGTTTATTTATTTTATTCTCGTTACTAGTTCATAAAAAGATAGATTGTGTGTATTGGAGAAGAGTCCCTACAAAAAGCTTTTATATCCAACCTGTTTTTTTTTGTTACTTTTAACGTGTATATATATATATATATATATATATATATATATATATATATATATATATATATATATTATATATATATATATATATATATATATATATATATATATATATATATATTTTTTTGGGAAATTTAGTATAAATATTTATATTTTACTAACTTTGGATATATATAAATATATATATATATATATATATATATATATATATATATATATATATATATATATATGTTCTATATATGACTAACTTTAAGTGGGTTTGTGCTCTCCTCCATGAGGATTTCGAAACGATATATTATATGTCCAAAATGGAGTATATGTGAATGAGATATCAATACTCAAAGAAGGGTATTTGAGAATAAATTTAGCAAAAAGAGATGTATGTGGGAATGAGTCTCACATTGGTAGAAATACCAAACCCAACAAGGTTTATAAATTTGAATGCATGAAAGGCTTTGCAAGTTTGTGTCTATGATTTTACTACAACTCCTACCATCGCGTGCAAATCTTGGATTTCGTTGACCAAAAACACCGAACTTGTGCATGGGCTTTTGGAATTTTTTTTTTTTTGCTTCGTTTTGTTGTTTTGTTCAATATTTAAGTTTATTTTTATCCAAAAACTAATTATACCAAAAATTGCACATTTTTGTCATCTATCAATTAACATCAACATCGATTAAAAAAAAAACTTCGATCAGTTCATATTTACAATATGAATCAGAATTGTAAATATTTCAATTATAATATTCACCATGTGAATCTAACTTTCTATTCCAACTCTTTGATCAGTAACAAGTTAATTTAATGAAATTTACATATGAATTAAAATATATTTTCATGTAATTTTATAACATTTTAACGTTTTGATTACTAATAAATTAGTTTGTAAAATCAACAAATGGGTTTATTCACATTGTGAATTTGAACTATATGTAATTTATTTTTCAGAATTCACAATATTAATATAATTTACTACTATTCACACTGTGAATCTGAGTAGATTCGAAATATGAATATGAGTTGATTCGCAATGTGAATCTAAACAGATTCACAATGTGAATTTAGATTGAAAACTCATTTTTTTTATTACATAAATATGAATCTATGTTTAAATAATACCATAAAATATGAATTTCGATATATATATATATATATATATATATATATATATATATATATATATATATATATATATATTAAACTCACTCGATAAAAAATAGACCTTAACTTTAAAAAAAACAACAAAATGAAGTATGTTTTTTTTGAAAAACAAATCATTTTTTGTATATCAATATAGATATCTATGAAAAGATGACGGAAAATCATGAACAATAGTATACTTTTTTTTTCGATAAAAAACATGGCCTAAAAAAATAAACGAAAATAGAAAGTGAGTTTTGTTATAATCTTATGCATATGTCTCTATTGTAAAAGTATGTAACACTTGCTTTTGTCGTTGGTCATTTTAAATTATGATGCTTTAGATTGGTTCTTTAACAATTTTTTTATCGTATAATACAAAATGAAAATAAGGTTCACTTTGGAAATAATGATTTTACTTATGGTGACAAAAAATTTTCATATTTACAT